GGGAAGGTGCTGTGAGGGTAGGGGCGGTCGTGGGGGAAGGGTGCGGGGTGGGGTTTTCTTATGAAGTTAATATCTTTTAATGTAAGGGGGTTAGGGAGTTTAGTGAAAAGGAGGGAGGTTAGTAAGTTGGTAAGAGCAGAGAGACTTGATTTCTTGTTTCTACAGGAGACAAAATTAGAAATGGTGGAGGGTGCGCTATGTAAAATGTTGTGGTTTTCAGATGATTATGATTGGGAGATGAAGGAATCGAGTGGAGCCTCTGGGGGTTTATTGTGTATATGGAATCGGCTTGAGTTTGTAAAACAGGGGGTCTTTTTGAGTAATGGGTTCCTGCGGATTAGAGGAGAATGGGGACCTAAGAAGTTGAAGTGCAATTTAGTGAATGTTTACGCCTCAAATGACAAGTAGAAGAAAATGACACTGTGGAATGATCTTCGGCAAATGATAATGGCAGAGGAAGGGAGATGGATGATTGTAGGGGACTTTAATGTAGTGAGGAGTCCCAACGAGAGGAAGGGTAGGATAGGGGAGACTCAGGATATGAGGGAGTTTGATGATTTTGTTGTGTCAACTGGGTTGGTAGATATTCAATTGGCAAATAGACGCTTTACATGGTATCAACCTGATGGGTCGTCTATGAGTCAGTTGGATAGAGTCCTCATGTCTGGTGAGATGTACAGTTTGGGAAAGGGATGGGTGCAGCATGGACTGAAGAGGACTGTGTTTGATCATTGTCCTATTATGGTCAAAACATCAGTAGTTGATTGGGGACCAAAACTGTTCCGAGTTTTGGATGCTTGGCAGCAGCACCCGCAATTCAAGAAGGTGATTGAAGATAAATGGAAGGAGTTCGAGGAGGAAGGGTACGCGGGATATAGATGTAAACAGAAGCTTAAGCGATTGAAGGATTTTTTAAAAGGATGGAATAAGGAAGTATTCGGAAACATGGAAACACATTTTCAATAGGTGGTCAAGAGTGTAGAACAGATTGATTTGAAGAATGAAGTGATGGATTTGGCGGAGGAGGAGTTGGATCTAAGAAAAGAAGGCTTCCAGCAGTTATGGGATATTATGTGGAAAAGGGAGGCTATTTGGAAGCAAAAATCTAGAAGTGATTGGGTTAAACTGGGGGATCAGAACACGAGATATTTTCACAAAATTGCAAATGGGAGAAAGGCATACAATAGTATCTCAGGATTATGGTCTAATGGACAGTGGGTAGAGGATCCGGAGACGGTTAAGGATGAGATGGTGAAGTACTTCTGCAATATGTTTCAAGATGATGCTTAGAACCGACCCATCCCTTCAAATCTGGTGTCCTGGAGAATTTCGAAAGATCAGAAGGAGTGGCTTGAAAGGCCTTTTACTGAGGAGGAGATTGATGAAGGCTTGAAGAGTTGTGAAGGAAGTAAAGCTCCGGGACCTGACGGGTATAATTTTAATCTCCTCAAATTCATTTGCAGTAGTGTTAGAGAAGACTTTTTTGCTTTTTTTTTGGGATTTTCACCAAAACAGCAGGTTAGTGAGGGGTTTGAATTCTTCCTTTCTTACATTAATCCCGAAGAAACTGAGCCCTAGGGAACTAAAAGACTTTAGGCCTATTAGTTTAATTGGCTGTATGTATAAGTTGCTAGCAAAGGTGTTAGCTAATAGGCTTAAGGAGGTGATGTCGGTGATTATTAGCGAAACGCAATCGGCTTTTGTAGGGGGAAGACAATTGGTTGATAGTGTTTTGGTTCTAAATGAAGTTGTGGACGAGGTTCATAAGAGGAAGCAACCAGCTTTTGTCTTTTAAGGCTAATTTTCAAAAAGCTTATGATTGTGTTAATTGGTCGTTTTTGGACTGGATGTTGGGAGAGTTTGGCTTTGGAGAAAAATGGAGGGGGTGGATTATGGAGTGTCTATCCACTACCAGGGTGTCGGTATTGGTAAATGGTAGTCCGACCAAGGAGTTTGAAATGGGGAAAGGGCTCAGGCAAGGAGATCCTTTGTCTCCTTTTTTTATTTCTGATGGTTGGAGAGGCATTGCATGGACTGGTGAAAAAAGCAGAAAATGAAGGTATGCTACAAGGGGTAAAGGTGGGTAGGAGGGGGTTGGCGGTCTCATTATTA